CTCTTGCTCAGGCTGGTCTCGAACTCCTGAGCTCAAAGGATCCGCCCGCCTCGGCCTCCCAGAGTGCTAGGATTACAGGCGTGAGCCACCACGCCTGGAAATCTCACTTAATAAACATTGATTACACAAATTTCCTGAAGTAACTCTGACCTCTGATTCTCCCAGACAGCTGGTTCCAGAAGTGTGGTCTAATACCTAGCACACAGTAGGTGCTTCATGTTTGTTGAATGAAGGAATGCACAAGGACTTGACCCTTGCCCTCTAACCCCTGCCATTGTCCCTAGGGCACTGCACTTGGCTGTGATTCATCAGCATGAACCTTTCCTGGATTTCCTTCTGGGCTTCTCAGCCGGAACCGAGTACCTGGACCTGCAGAATGACCTAGGCCAGGTGAGCCACTAGGGGACAGTGTGGGGCTTGGGTTCCGGGGTTCTCAGTGTGTTGCCTAACCTCGTCCTGTGCTCCTGCAGACAGCCCTGCACCTGGCAGCCATCCTGGGGGAGGCATCCGCGGTGGAGAAGTTGTATGCAGCAGGCTCTAGGTTGTGCGTGGCAGAGCGTGGGGGTCACACAGCGCTGCACCTGGCCTGCCGTGTTGGGGCCCACGCCTGCGCACGTGCACTGCTCCAGCCCCGCCCACGGCGCCCCAGGGAAGCCCTCGACACTTACCTCGCTCAGGACCCCGACCACACCCCTGTCGTCTTGTACCCTGAATCCGACTTGGAGAAGGAAGAGGAGGAGAGTGAGGAGGACTGGAAGCTGCAGCTGGAGGCTGAAAACTATGATGGTGAGGTCCTCGGTTATTGGGAAGGGCTCAGCTCCCAGGCAAAGCGAGAGCACCTGGCTCTGGGCTCAGCTTCCCGGACTCAAGACCCAGGCCCTTGAGAAATCATACCTAGGCTTCAGGGACCCAGGCGTCGGGACCAAGGACTTCCACTCAGGGCCCAGATTATTAAGAATCGACTATGTGGGACCCAAGACCCCCACCTGCAGGTCCCAGACCACTTGGGACCCCGAGCTGTTACCCACAGACCAGAGCTGCCAGGATCCCGTTACTGGGCCCAGGATCCCCGCCCACGATCCCTACCCCACCCAGGACTAGGGAATTCAAAGCCCAGGCTCTCTGTGAGTCTCTGGCATTCCAGGTGAAATAAGACCAGAGAGTCTGATCTCCTGGCCCCAAGATCCAAGCCTCCCACCCAGAGACCCCAGGCACTTCACCCATGAGCCCCAGACATCCCCAGACCCAGGCCTTGGCACCTGCCGGCAAACTCAAACCACCTGAGGCTTAGTCATTTGGGACCCAGGTGCCTCTTTGACATGCCCAGGAATTAAGGAGCCAGACCCCAAGCCTGATCACCCTCAGGCTACCTCCCCCAAGATCGTGGCTCCGGGGGCCCGGGCTCCTCACCCCATCCGTCATCTGACGCCGCTCTGTTTCCAGGGCACACCCCACTCCACGTGGCCGTCATCCACAAAGATGCGGAGATGGTCTGGCTGCTCCGAGAGGCTGGAGCTGACCTCAACAAGCCAGTGAGCCCCGCCCTAGGGCGAAGGCGGCGGGGAGGGGGTGTGGGTCATCCCCTCCTCAGACCTTCTGACCTCTCTGTTGCACCCCCAGGAGCCCACGTGCGGCCGGAGCCCCCTGCACTTGGCAGTGGAGGCCCAGGCGGCCGATGTGCTGGAGCTTCTCCTGAGCGCAGGGGCGGACCCTGCTGCCCGCATGTACGGCGGCCGCACCCCGCTGGGCAGTGCCACGCTCCGGCCCAACCCCACCCTCGCCCGCCTCCTCCGCGCACATGGAGCCCCAGAGCCCGAGGATGAAGACGACAAGCGTGGCCCCAGCAGCAGCAGTAGTGACAGTGACAGCGACAGTGACAGCGGGGATGAGGGCGTGAGTCAGGAGGAAAGACGGGGCAGCCCAACTGGGGGGGCAGGGTAAACGGGCAGGTGGGAAGATAATTAGGCAGCGCATTGAGACCAACCTCGGGCTGCTGCAGTTGGAGAACTCAGGCAGCAGCATGAGGGACATGGGGCAACAGTCAGGAGAGACCTGGACAGGGGTGGCGGGAACTTGGGCAGTGGTGGCCAATAAATTAAGGCAGTGGCAGAGGCGGGACTCAGGCAGGGGTGGAGAAAAGACCTCGGTCGTGGTGACTGGTGAACACAGGCGGTGATGAGTGCGAGCGCTGGGAGTGATTTTAGGGAGCAAGAGTTGGAGAACTCAGGCTGCGGGCGGATGACCTTGGGCAGCAGTGATGGCAGACCTTCTCCAGCAGTGAGGAGAGGTGTAGTTGGAGAACCGAGGCAACAGAGTACCTCGGGTGAAGCGTGGTGCTGAATGGTGGGGGCTGAGGAGTCTGGGTAAAGGCAGAGGGAAGGGGTGGGGGGAGAGAGACCTCAGGTTGCGGAAACACTGGAGTGGCGTCGGGGCTCGAACTCCAGCGGTAGTGGTGGGAGAACGTGGCCATGGGAGAAATGACCTTGACGATGGTGTCTGGGAGCTGGGAGCCGGGAAGCTGAACCACGAGCAGGGGACTCAGGTTTCAAGGCAAGGCCCAGTTCTTAGGGTGTTGTGTAAGGACTTGGGCAGGGGGCGAGGGGACAGCCCCCTGAGCAGCCACCTGAGCCCCTCTGCCTGGCCCCCTCTGCCCCCAGGACGAATACGACGACATTGTGGTCCACAGTGGCCGGAGCCAAACCCGGTCGCCTCCCACCTCAGCCTCGAAGCCTCTTCCTGACGACCCTGGCCCTGTCTGATGTGTTTAATTTTTAATATAGTTTCCAATTTAATAAAATCCCAGTTCTGACAACCAGAGATCAGACCGACGCTTGTGTCCCCGGTCCTCCGGTTTCTTCCTGGGGCCCGTCCCTCCAAAATCATGCTGCACCCTAAGCCGAGGTGGTTTTTCTTTGTGCTTTATTCACTCAGGAGGGTTGGAGGGGCTTAGAGGGGTGCTGGGGTGTTTGCTGAGTCAGGTCTGAGCCCAGCCCCGCTACCCAGCTCAGATTCATCTCCTCAGGCTTGGTTCTAAGTAAGGCGCACCCTTCTCCCCACCCCTGCCAGGGTGTGGGTGGAGGAGGGTGCCAGGTGAGGTGGGGGCTCTGGGGCCAACAGTCCTAAGCCGCAGGGTGTGTCGGGAAGGAGGACGGAGGGGGTCAGCCCTCCCTCCTGAGCTGCGCCCCCAGCTTCTCCGTGGCCTCCTTCAGCGCGTCCCTCGCACGCTCCAGCTGCTCCACGTCATGCTCCTGCCGGGGTCAGAAACGGGCTGGTCAGCGCCCACCTTCAAAGGCGGGCCACCTCGTGGTCACCCTTGAATGAAGGCCATGGCAGTTCTCACAGTGGCAGCCAGCAGCAGTCGTCCTAGCCATCACGGACTGTAGTGGTGACCACGTTACCCCAGAAGAGTCACATTGGCCAACGTGACCATAGCCAACAGCTGCGGCATGGGACTCACAAAGGTGCCAACTCGGGTATCATGACCCACTTGTGACGTGATGGCTCTTTTGGTTACTGCCACCAATCATGGTGACATCTCGCTTTTCATGACCCAGCAACTGTCTGTCTATAGCCTATCGAAGCAGGCATGGCAGCCACTTGTCTTGGTGGCCAACTTGCCTGCAGTAATGGTGGCCCTCTAGTGACCGTGGTCTCAGCGTGCAAACCTCCTTGGTCAAAAGAGGCCTTGTGTGGATGTTGCTACCTAGTCCTGGTGTCACTCTTTTTTTTTTTTTTGAGACAGTCTTGCTATGTTGCCCAGGCTGGACTTGAACTCCAGCTCCAGCGGTCCTCCCACCTCAGCCTCCCGAGTAGCTGGGAGTACAGGCACGAGCCACCGCGCCCGGCTCCTGGGCTCAGCCTCAGTCACTATGATCCACTCGTGGTGGGTCCGGCTGTGTATGGGCCAACACGGGTAGCGGTTTGGTGGTAACTCCACTGGCCATCGGGGCGACCCCAGTCCCCCATGGCCTGGGAGTGCCTCTCCCACTCACCTCCCTCTCTGAAGCCTCGTCCCTCTCCTCCTGCCTGAGCTCAGCCTCTGGCTGGCGGTGGCGGGGGTGGTGGTGGTGGCGGTGCGGCGAGTCCTCGGGCCTCTCTCCTCCACGGGTCCCGGCCCCCTGCCACAGGTTGCGGCCCCCGCCCAGCGCCTGCACGCCCTTCTCCTCTGCCTCGAACTGGGCCGTCTCCTCGTCGCTGGCCTTCTCTGCCACCCGCTTCTGGGGGCCCCCTCCACCCTCTAGACGCTGCTGCCACAGGTCCTCGAAGGTCTCCATGGGCCCTCTCTCCTCCTTCTCCGCCTCCTCCTCCTCCTCCTGGTGGAGCCGGCTGCGCAGTTTCTCGCGGACGGCCTGTTCCCGGACCTCAGACTTGTGGGTGCTCTCTGCTGTTTCCTCCTCTTCCTCATCCCTCACCTCCTGGCTGGACCTGGTCTTCTCAGCCTCCTGCTTCTTGAAGTCCCCAAGCAGCAGGCCTTCCTCCGCGGCGGACGCGCAGCCGTGGGGCTCCGTCTCGCACATCTCTGGCGGCAAGAGGCGGATGTCCTCTGAGCATCGCACTGGGAAGCTGAGACCTCGCAGAGGTCTGGGCCCTGCCGAGCTCCCACGGGGGCTGCCCAGAACATCCCATCCCTCTGCAGGGAGCCCCCAGGGTGGAGCTGGTGGCCTGGCTTTGTCAGGTGGGAACGCTGGGCAGTGACACACTAGCCCAGGCAAGAGGACCCTTCCTGCAGGCAGCCCTGGGCTCTGGGGAGGACCCGGGGCCCGGTCCTCCTTACCTTTGTGGAGGAGAGCTGTGCAGGGTCCCCTCTGGGCCTGACCCAGCGACAGCACCTCTGTGACCACCTCTGCCAGACAGCGGGTCAGCTGGGGGGCGGGGGTGAAGGGTCAGAGGGTGAAGGGTAGAGGTGAGGCTGAGGGCAGGGGAGAGGGGAGAGTGAGAGCGGCTGGAGGGTCAGAGGGGAGATGAGGATGGTGGGAAGCAGTCTGGGCAGGGGGGGCAGGGCCCTGGCCAGGTGAGGCCGGGCGAGGGGGCCACACTCCTCACCTCCTCCTTGGAGGGTCTGGGCGCCAAGGGAGCCGCGGTGGCTGTGGGAGGAAGGAGGTGGGGGCTGTGCTCAGCGACCCCGGGCCCTGTCCCCACCCGTCCCCTCCCCAGCGCACCTGCTGGTCCACCGTCCCCACCTGGAAGGTCGGCCCCTGAGCTATCTAGCCCGACCCGCGGGTGTACCTCCCTGTCCCTGTCGCCCGAGCCCCTCGGGTGTCGGGCACTCACCCACCCCCAGCAGCAGCGCCAGCAGCGGGGGCAGCGGCAGCAGCAGCAGCGCCGAGGCGGGCCCGGGGCGCGGCATGGCGGGGCGTGCGGACCGGGACGGGGCGACAGCGCTTATAACCCGCGCGGTGACCCCAGGGCAGGAAGTGACTTCACCGCCACCCCCTCCCTGACACGGTGGGCGACAGCTGCGGGGCGGCCCGCCTGCCCGGGACCCTCAATTATTCATGGGGCCACGCCCCGCACGGGCTCCCCTCGAGGCTTCCGGCCCGGAGCTTCTCTTGGCACAGAAACAGGGTCTGCGGAGCTCACGGGACGGAGCCCAGCGGCAGCCACTGGCAGGTCGACCTCGGCAACTGCTTCCCCTCCTGGGCCTCAGTTTCCCCACTGGGAGAGTGGTTCTCATAAAGCCACTTCCCTGGGGGCTGTAGTTGGCCCGAGCCCCAGCTCCACCACTTGCCACCCAGCCGCCCTCAGCAGTTGCTCAGCTTCCCTAAGAGCTGTCCTCCATGGTACAATAGGGTGGTGACAACCTTTACGGTGCTCGGGGCACTGCCTGGGGAACTGCACAGGCCAGAGCACCTCGTTCCAGCAATTTCCATGGAGCAGGCCCCTCTCCTAGACCCTGGCCTCCCGGAGCAGACGTGCGAGTGTGGCTGTAGACCCTGAGTGCCAGGGTTTTGCTCTGGTCAGGGTGGTCAGAGAAGACCTCTCTGATGAGGTGGCATTTGGGCTAAGGCCTGAGTGACAGAACGGAGGCCAGCAGACAAGATCTGGGGGAGGAAGAGCCCAGGGAAGGGGACTCAAGTGCGAAAGCCCGATCAGGAAGGAGTTTGGAGTCAACAGCAAGGCGGGTTGGGCGCCAGCAAGACAGGAGACAGGCTAAAGAGACAGGTGGTGGCAGATCAGGTGGGGCCTTGTGGGCCACAATGACAACTTTGTCCTCTGCTCTGAGATGGAGCAGGGGAGGGACATGATCTGACCCAGGCACTCACAGGTCCCTCTGGCCGTGCCAGGGACAGGGAGCCAGAGAGGAGGCTTCTGCAGCTACCCGAGTGGGAGATAACATTGGACGGGACAGGGCAGGGCCCGGGAGAAGATTCTGGAAATGTTCCAAAGGTGGAGCTGCCAGGTTTGCTAATGACCTGGGTGTGGCCTTGAGAAAAAAGTCAAGGACAACCTGAAGGGTTATGGCCTGAGCAAATGAGAAACTATCCTAAAACCCAGGGGAAGAGTGGGTTGGCTTCCCCGAGTGTGAGATGCCCACTGGGCCCCCGGCTGGAGCTGCAGAGGGGGCGGCTGCACGACCAACTGGGGACTAGGGAGTGGGCTGAGGCTGGGGTCAGTTTGAAGGAGCCACTGGAGGGTGACTCTGCCCTGGTTTGTCCCAGAGGAAAGGGAGAGGGCTCAGCATGCTCTCAGCTCCCCTGGTGGCCCCGAAGCCACCTTCCGTGTGTGCTGGGTGTTGCTGGACACTTCCAGCCACAGACCCGTTGATGACCTGGCGCCCCGAGCAGCTGCCCTGCGCCTCCTGTGAAGCTGGGCAGGGCCATCTCCCTTGCTCCCGGATCCGCAAAGGCCTTTGTTGTCACCGTTTATTGGAGACTTTCTGCTTAGCCCTGAGGGAGGGAAGAAGGAAGGAGGGATGGAGGCCTCTTCCTCTCTTTCTCCCGTCCCTAGAACCTTCGAGTCCCCAGACATCCTGCTTCCTACTGCAGGCTGGGATCGGTGACAGAACGAGGGTCAGCGACCGATCCTGAGGCAGCAGGGAAGGCGGAGAGGCACAGCCTGGAGTCCAGGGGCCCAGGCGTGGAGCTGACATGAGGAAACCAGACGTCAGGGGGGCTCAGGAAAACAGGTCCCCGGTATCCAGGGTCTGCTGAGCTCCAGGAAGCGGTGACACCCCGCTGGCTGCCGTGGATGGTTCTCAGCTCACGCGGGCTGGCCAGGGAGCCTGGGCTTCTGGGGCTGGTTGGGGCCGATGTACCGGAGAGGCACGTGCGTGGGGGTCGTGATCCGATCGGTGCCGAGGTAGGGCTGCAGGGCAGGGGGCACGAGGACCGAGCCATCCTGGGGACAGAGCAGGCCTCAGGATGCTGCCACTGCCCCGGTCCCCTGTGCCTCTGGGCGGGACCCTTCGACCCCTCACCTTTTGCTGATTGCTCTCCAGGAGGGCGATGAGCAGGCGAGGGACAGCGCAGGCTGTGGCGTTCACCTGCGAGGGAGGCGAGCTCGGGACCAGCTGCTGACCCCGGGCGGGCACGAGGGCTGGGTCTAGGGGAGGGGGGGCGGGGCAGGCGGGTGAGGGTGCGCGGGCCTCACCGTGTGGGCGAACTCCAGCTCCCCAGCCTCTGTCTGGAACATGATGTGCAGGCGGCGGCTCTGGAAGTCTGTGCAGTTGGAAGCGCTGGTGACCTGGGGTGGGGGGCGGGGGCCGCGAGGATCAGCGTGGGGGGCAGGCCCGTTTCCCACCCTGCATCCCCACCGGGGCAGGGCTCACCTCTCCAAAGCGGCCTCGGCCGGGCATCCAGGCCTCAATGTCGAACTTGCGGTAGGCGGGAAGGCCCAGTTCCTGGGTGGGCATGTCCAGCACCCTGCGGCCCAGCACAAAGGCATGGCCAAGGTCAGCGGGTGAGAGGGGAAGGAGGAGGAGGAGG